AAAAAAAAAAAAAAAAAAAAAAAAAAAAAAACCATCAAAACAACCACAAATAGGATTTTGGTAATTGTTGATTAGTTACAATTTGCAGCCCCGATTCTTACCAACATTTTTTGCACAATTAAAGTCATTCTAACTGTTCAGCTTAATATTCTCGTCTACTTAAGTTTCTGTTTTACTAAACACTTTTTATTTCCAGTCCATACAGACACTGCTAAAGAACAGATTCTTTATGAATCCTCTCTCCCATTCCTCTTCCCCAAAAATAAACAATGGAACAAAAAAAAAAAACCTGAAGTGTGTAACATTAAAGTAATGCACTCCTTTTTTATTTCCTCATTTCTTCTCCATGGAAGAGCAGTAAAAATTGGAATGCAAAAGGCAAAGACAAATCTGTGCTTTCTTTTTGTTTAATTTTATATAAACACTCATAGCTCACCAATCTATAAAGAAAATAAAAAACAATAGGGTCACTTATGCATTATGTGTATAATAATCACGCATTTGAAGATTACCACTTAAAAACTATTAAAAAATTTCCTTATACTATTGAGGCTTAGGGTCATTAAACAGAATTGTATAGTTAAGCTTTCAACAATGAAATAGTGTCCTAAAAACCACATAAGCCAGTAGCAGCAATACCAAAAAAAAAAAAAACAAAATCATAATAATAACAATAATAAAAACTAACAATAGCAACAACAACACATCTGATGTTTGGTCTCGATAAATCAAACATGGTGGTCCACTGCAGCAAATTTATAACAACATTTTTATGTGTTCTTTAAAGTCCTTAAAAAAAACTGTTGAAAAATTAAAAATTTCTTCTGATCCACTTATAAAATTTATTTATTTTTAAGCTCAATAATAAAAACTATTTTTTAAAAGCGTATGCAAAATCCTATTCAAAAACTAAACAAACAAATATCAATGAATTAACTGTAACAGTTCTATGAAGCAACAGTTACACTGATAATTTACAGCAATTTTTAGTACATAAAATTTGAAAATAAATAAAAGTTTGTAAGAAAAAAAAGGCCGAAGTATGTATAACAGTAAAATGTGTGCCAAACTGAATAGTATTATAAAAATGTAAAACTCAGCTCTGTCTATCCTTTCCCCTTTAAATATTTCATCCAAATTAACCAATACATTAGTCTTTAACGGCATTATTTTATTGAATCTTTCTGTACTAAATTTTTACGCATACTAATGTGCAGAATAAAACATACGAATACTCGTCGATGGTGATTAAATTACAGCTAAATTACCATCGAAATACCGTTTACAGCTCTAATACAAACATCATAACGAAATACTTAGTGTCCACAGAACAATAAAATTTTGTTCCAAAAAGAAAATTTCTAAGTTCAACACTGTGAACCTTTCGTCATATATTATTGCAACTCTACTGAACAAAGAAAAACAATAAATAAGGATTCCTTCTTTTTACTGTCAAATTACAACTTATTTCTTCCTCAAAATTCTATTAATTGTTTTTCAACAGTTGGCCACCTTTATATTCTTGTGATTTTTATTAGCACCGCCTCAACAAAACAATTAAATATCACCCAAAGAAACTTAAGCCAAACTTTTACAAATTACCGTTACTCTCACCCGTCACAATATCGGCGGCAATCTTCAACTGGCTATGCCTATAAAAAATGCTGAAAAAACGTCTTTTTTTCGCAGCTGTGACTACAACAAACAGTAGGCCTCACATTATAAACGTTTATAACAACAAAACTGTTCATCTGCTACCAAATGATAGGCAGAAAAAAGAGAAGTTGCGCTCACACACATCTTTAGTTCTTTTTCTTCGCTTTGAATATACCGAAACCAATGAATGCGGAAACATCCTAACTCATTATTGACAAAGTTTTGTATCTGAACTCTCCTTTATTTCTTCCCCGTAACATGCGTCATCACAATTGTGTGTGCTATCAACAAATACCTATTAAACTATTAAAATTCAAATATACTAACACTTCTCAACCATATCTGAAATAACATCTGAATTCTTAACTCACATTTCAAAGAATATTTTTAATATTTACTATTTCATTAATTATTGATGGTTAAATCCCATAAAAAGTATCTGAAATCAACATAACCACTGCCATACACAGACTGATATTTGAAGCTATAAACGGTAAAACAGTTAAGCGAACAGTTCAAAAATAAAAAGACTTCGGCGGCTTACTAACAGTATCATAATAACAAAAAAAGGAACTCTAAATTCCAACATTTCAAAATTCACAGTTTCAAGTACAGCCAATAAAATCTCTATCTATTAAGAAATAACACGCAAGCTTTTACACCCTATAATAATTAATACCTTTTGTCAACAAAGCGACCTGAGAGTGGTTTTTGAAAGCTACAGTGCCTCAGAAGTGTAGTGAGAAGCAATTCCCTTCCTACCTTCTTCAACCTGCGTACTTTCGTTACCGAGACACGTATCGTCAAGACCCCTCCATGTCCGATCCCCGACATAATCACCTAAAAAAAAAAAAAAATAAATGCAAAAAAGCGGTTCAAAAAAGCAAACATGCCGAAAAAACTTAAAAAATTATTTCAGTTAATTAGTTATCGAAAGTGCTATTGACTTTGTAAATTTTTATATTAATTTTAAAAGTCAGATACCTGCATTGTACAGAATAATCTGGTCGTTATTAAGATTCTCGTGGCCATTTTTTGACTGAACGTCTCTTATCTTTCCAGTGACCAGACTCATATCCGGTTCCTGCTCATTGACTTCTCCAATTTTATCTTAAATGACACACGACATTACTTCATGTAAATGCTAAAATGATGTAACGAGTTAAGAAGCTACCATCCATAAAAGCTTTGTAATCGGCTATCCAACCATGAGACGCGGACCACTCTTTATCCGGATTCAGAGCTATCTCTGCTTCAAAAACGCTAACAACGGGACGATAGTGGTCAGAAGTATCAAGAATAATTCCATAAGGGCAAGAAAGAATGATGAAAACATCAACGTCTCCAGCAAAATTTGATAGTTTAGCAACATTAGGCTTAAAAGAATAGTAGTATTAAATAAGATAAAGAAGAATTAAACCACTTTAAACGTCCACTGCTTGCAAAATTGACCAGCAAATAGACCACAGACAAAAATTTTTGTGCGATATACATGAGCCAATGACTACAAGGTTAGCAAAGCACTGTTTTCTGATTCAATAAAAGCAAGACTCGTGATCAAAACTTGCACATTTCTAATGCTATTATAAAAATACCTTTCCAACTGAAAAGACATAAGCTTTTTTCCCTGCTTTTTTGCACAGTCGTCTTAATCTGTCTATGGTTTTCTTGACGCCAGAAGCACCTACGCAACAAACGACTATTCCAACCGTAGTAGCATCTTTCACTTTTTCAACCAAAAATAAACGCTTTTTCAGTTGCCGCAGGGCTCCAGATCTGAAATAAGAATGTCATTGATACATTCATACACTGATGATAGCAATCAGGTAATTCAGCAAAAATCTAACTGAGAAAATGAAGAGTGACCAGTAAGTGGATCATAGGCGAAAATTTTAGTGCAATTTACATGAGCCAATAACCACAATGTTAGTAAAGGGCTGTTTTCCTGACCAATAAACGCAACCATCACATCAGAAAATTTGTTGTCAAAGTCTTCTGGAACGCACCGTCCAAAAGAAGCAGATTTACCTGGAAAACATCCGCTACTGCATGAACAATGAATAATTTAGATTTAAAAATAACTATAAGTAAATTATTAGATGTCTTGAAACTCGAGAACACGAAACTTGTTGCGGAAGTAGGAGTGACAACTGCATTGATAACGTGTGACGTCGAAGTCAAAAGGTATGCTTCCAGTTGCCCTGGAATAAGATTAAGGAAAGTTGCACACAACCTTTTTCATATTTAGCTTCGATACTCATCTGACTGTGTTGTTTCTTATAAGCCCTTTCTTTCGCACCTAGCTTTGCCTCACAGTTTTTGTTCTTGAGTTGCTCTTTGATAATTATGTAAAAAAATTTCGCCTTTTCACACCATTCTAACAAATAAAAACAAACACAGTGGTGATTTCGACACTTACCGCTGTAATTTGCGTAAGCCACATCATACAAAAGCAAGCAAGTATCAGAAATTTTCGGACAGTTTTGTGTGAATGCTATTTTAAAAGCTTCGATACTGAAAGAGATATTCCCAAAAACGTATTGGATAGGATAGCGGCCAGAATATTCACTTAAACATGCGTCACCGTAATGGATAATACAGTCGACATCTGCATGTTCCGCAGCTATTTCATCTACACAACAACTGAAATAAGTTGTTTTTCAACTGCTAATTACAATAAAAGCCTTCCACTAGATATTTCCGCTGAAACCTATTTATCGAAAAACATGACAAGATATTATTTTACACAAACCTTCGATAAGAAGAATCACCAAGAATAAACGCTTTTATATCTATTCCTTCTTCTAACCAGTGTACAACGTCAGAAGCAAATCTCAATAAGGAATCTGGAAACTGAGCCGCTACACGTGTATAATGGTTGCTCTTAATCCACTCAACAGTTTTTTCAATTTCGAAAAACTTTCTTTTTTCAGCTTCTGACAAACTCTGAAATATTAAAATAGCCATTAAAAGAGAGTAAATAAATAGCGAAGCAAAAGTTAAGCTCGGGAATTACACTCACCAACATTAAGAACCATTTAATGAAGCACTTTTTTTACGTCAAAAAAATTAAACCCTTAAGTTATCTTTGCTTTTTTTACACAAAAATCTTAAACAAATCTTCCCCAACCTCTTGCAATTTCCCCCTCTGTTGCTTCTGCCAGTCTAGTAATAGCGTATTTTTCCCTTCGTACATGACAAATCCAAACCAACAAACATTCGTGAATGTTAACTTTCCAAGCTGGTTGGTTAATTATTACAAGGACAATGTATTTTTTGTCTGTAGGAGAACAATTCCACCGAAGTAAAGAGAAATCATCTCGAAATAAATTTCAGAACACTAACATCCAAGAATTCTCATTGTAAGTGGTCAACAGTATATGAAGCAAAAATAAGGACAAAACCTCTAAAGTCTCAAAGTACAAAAGACAGAATATTTGCTAAAAAGGGAATATAAAGCCAGAAGAGTCTCTATTAAATCTACCGGAGTAAGAGCATTATAGCAAAAATGCTTTAAATAAAGTCACCGTTAACAGTTGGATGTAATTTGATTCTGAATCTGTCGAGGTGGCAGTGCCCTCAGAAATGACATCTGGTGAATACATTGGCAACGACGTTGAAGGTTCAGGAAAACTGCCAACTGACTGGAAAGTTTCCTCCATCATAGCTCTAAAAAAATTTTTTTACATATTTCATTTTCGCATGTCCAGTTACTTTGACAACGTACTTATGCGGGTCTTAAAAGTATA